GCCTGGTTTTCCCTAATTTTCCCTAATAGATATTAGATCATATTTAGGGCTTGTCTGGGAGAACTTTTCCAGCCAAAAAATTGAATTCTTAACCGTTATTTGCCAGCATATGGGCCCATTGTGAGAGCTTTAGTCAAAGAAATCGGCTGGGAGAGCTTACAACGGTCCAAAAAGCACTACAAATTGGGTTTTTAATTGGAAACAGACACGCTCTTAATTGGGCCCTCAAAATGTAGCAACCCATCTCCACAATCTCCACCTTTACTGCATTTTGAGACTTTATATAATGGATTCGAACTCTATCTTAGATGACTTGCTCTTTTTAACCTATTACAAAACTAGAGAACTAATTAGTTTCAAAATTCAATAATCTTAAAAAATCTAGAAATTTTTCAATGGCAAGTACTTGCATCAGCACGATTTACTTTGGTAGGAATTTTAACAAGTTTCATATCATCTTTTTTAGTTATAAACCTGATAAAGTGAAACTTATCTATATGTTGAGTTTTATCATGAAACATACGATTCTTACTCAAGAAAATAGCACTTTGATTATGTGAACAAAGCTCCACCTTATTTTCTACAAATCCTAATTCATTTAATAATCCTTTCAACCAAAATCTTTCTTTTACAGCCTTAGTAGCGGCAATATATTCAGCTTCACTAGAAGATAAAGCAACTAATTTTTAAAGTTGAGATTTCTAACTAATGCTAGTGTTATTTATCACATAAAAATATGAAGAAATAGACTTTCTGTTATTAGAATTATCAACAATGTCAGAATCAACATATCCTTCAAGTAAAAACCATTTTTATTAGCATTAAAGATGAGTCCTAATTTCTGAGTACCCTTTAGATATCTGATTAAATGTTTCATAGCTTCCCAATGAAGCTCAATTGGATTGCTCATAAATTTGCTCAATACACTTACAGCAAAGGCAATATTAGGTCTAGAGCACACCATAACATACATAACAAAACCTACTGCATTAGCATAAGGTATATTTGCCATTCTATTAACCTCATCTTCAATTTTAGGTGAATGGTGAGTAGATAACTTCACACAGGCATATAAAGGCAAGCTGACAGGTTTAGATTCATGAAGTGCGAAAGGTGGATAATACAGAATCACGACCTTTTGATAAGGTTCAATCTAGACCACAATCTTGAAATGGTGTGATCTAATGATTGTAATCAATTTTGCCAAAAGATGCAACCGTTAGGAAGAGACATGAAAATTTATAATTAGGGTCTTCCTAATTCCATTTTCTTCACTCCAAATCAATTTTATATAATTGATTTCCAATAATTTCCTTCTCTATATGATGTCAAAATAGTAAGTCAAGTGTAAGTTCGTCGGACAAAATTAATTTGTGCTATATTAATTTTTGAAAAACTGGAAGAAGCGTTGTATCTTGAAAACAGACTTTCATTTAATCATGTTAACACCGGTGTAGCTGAGGACGAAAATTCGTCTTAAGAAAATTTGCATTCGCATACCTCGCTTCATTTCACCTCCTAATTTCTACATTCTAGTAAGTCGATATTTGTGCTCGTATCTCGATTTTGGTAAGTCAAAATTTTAGTCTATATCTTGCACGTGTAAATCATGATTCTATCGTCTTTGCATGCACGTATTTTTTATTAACGGAATATAATTTATGCAATAAATTTATCCAACATGGTACAGTGCATAAAGAGGGAAGGGAGGTTATTGGAATTTCTTGATGCCACCTATGAGATATAAAGCTTTTTGAGCCTCAGGTTTGATATTTGGCTGCTTCGTGAAACACAATATTATTACTCTGTCAAATCCAAAATTTTAGAGTCGGAGAAATATGAATTAAGCTATTTGTACAACCCTTGTTGACAATTTTAGTGTTGCCAAAATCCGAATCGTTTTAAAATGAATGAATGTGATGCTACCAGGTGTGAAATTGGGAGTCAAGATTGTCGACTGAGATTGTATAAGTAGCATGATTCAAGAAATATAGCAACCACGTAAACCATACACAAAGTAAATGTCCGTACAGACTTGAGCACAAGAACTATTCTAATAAACTTCACCTTGTATCTATACTGCTCAAAACCAAAATAACAATAACTATACTAGCGCACACAAAGATTAAAAAAAACGCAAGCTAATAGATATTAAAGAAATGAAAGCTAAAATATAAATAAATGGATCAACCAAATTGAAAGAGAATATTTGGACATGAGCCTAAGGGTTAAAATCTACCAACTGAACTAAGCCCCTGTTTGCCCCCCATTAATTTAAATTTTTGGGGGTAAATAATTTTTAGAATAGTGATTGATGGGAGATGTGTGGTTGAAAAGTTTTTGATTTGTGTGTATTATTATTTTATTTGATGAATGTATGGTTGAGATGAAGAGAGAGAAAAAATTAATGTAATGGAATGTAATATAATGGGGGCCAAACAGGGGCTAAATTTAGAGTGTGTTTGGTAGGGATTTTNGTAGTTCAAAATTTGTGGGCCGACTCGGAACCGGCCAGGAACCTGCAGCGGGCGGGCTTTTTTTCACGCAAGCCATTACCGGGCTCATATGTTGGAGGACCGATCCCGCCCGGACCACCCGGATTGACACCTCTACAACTAAGTTGCCAGTTTTGCAAAGAATCCTCGTGTTTATTCTGGTCATGGAAGACCGTGATGACAAGGTTCAGGAAACAAAACTGGAGATGAAATTAAGTTTCAAATTCAAACTGTTTTGTCTCAACTAAATACAGCTACACACAAAACTAGAGTGAAAAAAGTTTAGTTTTTCTCCGATTTAATGATTCGCTATCAAAAGCAAAATGCTTAATCATCACCTTTTGGTTCACGTAGTGATTAATTTACTTGCATCTGTAACTCTAATTGGGTAGAATATCAATGCAAAGTTAATCCCAAATTTACCCCAACATTACTTTGCTATGATCTCTGCTTTCTCGAATGCTCGCTTCAAGTCCAATGAGTATACTGCAGAGATTTTAAGTTCCCTCGATAGATAACTGTAAAATACGTGAAACAGAATCTAAAACAATTTTCCAAGTTGACGTCTTCCATTTTGATTTTCCATGTTTTTAACATTATGCACTGCACCGAACACGTACGTCGTGCACTTTGGCCCACCAGCTATTTGTCTTGTACTTGGGGCTGACTCATAACATTGTGTCGTCTACCATTGTCATTTCACCAATATTCAATTATTGAATTATGTTACTGAGAATAATTTCCACTATGATTTTACCTAAATTTTACCTTTTTAAACCCTATAGTAACAGACTCTCAGTCAAAATGGGTCCCAACCAGAACAAAAAATCTAGAATATATACTATCAGTAAGTAAGAACTAAGATTAAATTTGTTAAATTCCTAATTAAACGTTTTTGTGTGGGGTAACATTTGACAGTTTTAGGAGACTGAGATTCACACGTGGAGTCATCTGAGTACTGAGTTCTTGGAAAGTTCAAACGAAGAGATAAGATGTTTGTCAAAAATCAATAATTCAATATAGATATACATATTTTGCTATATATAGGAGAGCATTAAAGAATTCTTTGCCATTGCCTTTCTTCCTTGAAAATTTTCTTTTCTGCGGTTAGAACTTTTGTAGTAGTTTACCCCTGGCAGTTAAAAAATGGAGAAGAGGGTTCTTCTTTTTGCATTTACTTTGGTAACAATACACCAGAATTTGCAATTTCCAGTGGCTAATGCTCAAACAAAAGGAAGAATGGTAACAGTTTTGAGTCTTGATGGAGGTGGCATTAGAGGCATCATTCCTGGCACTTTTCTTGCCTTCCTTGAATCCAAACTACAGGTACTTTCTAGGTTGCACGTTTCGTACACAATACTGCTCACACGACTGAAATATTATTCCCATCCTCCTCACAATATATACGATTGTGATTTTCCAGGAATTAGATGGACCTAATGCAAGAATTGCAGATTATTTTGATGTAATAGCAGGAACAAGCACAGGGGGTTTAATTACTACTATGCTCACAGCTCCTGGTAAAGATAATCGCCCCTTGTATGCTGCAAAAAACATTACTAGCTTCTACTTGGAGCACGGCCCCAAGATCTTCCCTGAGAGAAGGTAAATTATTTAGAAAGACAGATTAATTTTCGAGATTTGCTTAATAAAGTACTGATCGTGTCTATGTCCTTAAATCTTAAGCCGGAACAACTTCTTGTCGACCATTAAAAATATATTTGGTGGTCCGAAATATGATGGGAAGTACCTCAAGTCATTGATCCAAGGATTATTAGGCAATCTCACTCTGAGCAAGACCTTAACAAATGTGGTGATACCATCTTTTGATATCAAGCTCCTTCAACCAATTATTTTCACTACAAAAGAAGTAATTACATATTTACCTTTGTCATAT